TTTTCTTTGACACAGGTTTAATTACGGGCAACAATACTACGGGAATTTACGAATGGGAAATTTTACCGTTTGAACAAAATCGTCAAGGTAACCTATTGATCAGAAGTAACAAAACTGAAAACTGTGTTGAAACTAAATACAGCGCAAACAAGTCAAAAACTAAAACCTAAAAACAAAACTGGCACAACTAATGAATGGCACAGCGGTAACATGAATTTGTAAAATCATAGAAGGCTTTTAGCGTTAAAATCTTTACAAGATTTCAATCATGTGCTCGACCAGATTACTTAACTGTCATGTAAGGAGTCGCAAACGCGGATTATGAATGACAGAGCACTTCAGAGGAACAATGAAAGAACAGCGCTTCAATTTGGAAACGACAGTTCAATTGAGCACTAATGAAAATAGCATAAATCGACTCTTAATGACGACACCCCAGCTCTAATTTGATAAATTAAAGAGACGGTTAAAAGCCTGGACAATTTCCTTAATAAGTGGAGCCTTCGGAACTCACAACGGAGTTGCATTCAAAGCATGAAATCTAAAAATTAAGCAAATTTAACCTAAATTAATCATGTAGGTATTTTCCAGTCTATCCAACCTGCAGTCTTGTCTGCCTATCACGAATTAGATTGTTTTCACTTTGTCCAATTTCCTTCTTCGAATTATCAAGCATCATTGTCACTAAGTAGAATGGTTCGTAATTAGGCTACTGTCAGTTCTGATAGTGTGAATAATATAATTCGAAAGGTAGACCGGAAGCTGAATATAATCAACTATGATAAAGACGTTTTCACTTAGGGAAACTTTGCCAACAGCTTTTTATAGGTCATATACACTAATGGAATGAACCTGGTGGGATACGACAGTAAGAACAATATGCTGTTCTTTACGCAAACTACTTTTCCTTTGGCGCAAGAAAATATCCCTACCATTCCAAGATATCTAGGACTAATATTTCGCATCAGTTGCACTTCTACAGATAGGCACATCAGAGAAATTGAAGACTGATGCCCAGGGGTGGCAAAACAAAGCACTGTCAAGAACCACGTTATCTAAAAAGATAAATCCAGCAAGATAATTCAAAGAAGGGAAACTGGAGATAAAGGAATATACTGCACGTCGTAATGATGGAACAAACCAGCAATGATAACAATAATAATAAAAATTGTAGTTACGCATAGTACTCATTATTCAAGTGAATAATCAACCATCGAGCGGGTCAACGCAAAATGCACCTAACAGGGAGTGCATAAATCGGGCAGTACAGCTGTATATCTCATCCATTCTTGTTAAACCATACTACAGTACCATGCTGTTCCTG